ACAGTGTAGTCTCGTGCCCCGCCCCTTCGCTTTTGGAGGAAGGGTCTGGGGACACTCAAGGCTTTTCTGTTGCCTTGCGCTGGAATGTTGGCGCACCAATCAAATTGATCGAGCCACGTGCAACACCACCTGTCATGTGATAGTCACATGATTTTGGGTAAGGGCGGGGCAGGAGTCTTAGATTTTGAGCCGCAAAATGGCGTCTCGAACTGGTGGTAATGTTCGAACTGCTATTAAGGCCTGTGCACAACGTTTAAGCTACAGAGAAGCAAAGAAAGAACAGCAAGAGGCTATTATAAAGTTTGTAGTTGAAGGTCAAGATGTTTTTGTCTGCCTCCCAACTGGATTTGGCAAATCTATGTGCTTTTTATGTATACCAGTCCTAGTGGACATCATAACTGGAAAAAGTTCAGCCTGGTCAGTGATTGTGATAGTTAGCCCTCTGGTAGCTCTCATGAATGATCAGGTAACAACTCTTAATAAGAAGGGCCTCAATGCAGTCAGTATTGTAGCTGATAACACTCATCATAGTGGTGATGATCAGTCTGCAGTTGTGAGGGGAGATTTTCAGTACATTTTCACCACACCAGAAATCCTTCTATGCAGTAAAGATTGGATAAATGTTTTCCAGAGTCCGTCATTTGTTGAAAGATTGGTAGGTGTTATCATAGATGAAGCACATTGTGTTAAAAAATGGTAAGTTAATATACATGTTTTAGCAATTTTAATTCTTGATTATGTAGGGGCAGCGACTTTCGTAAGGAGTACAGCAAGTTAGGTGAACTTCGTGGATTTTTTCCTCCTAAAGTCCACATCATGGCTCTTACTGCAACAGCTTCTGCAGCATCTCGAAAAGAGATTATTAAGGTGCTTGGTATGCTGAAACCTCATATGATAATCCGATGTCCTAATAAGCCAAATATTAAATTAGTTGTTGAGGAGATGAGGGATGATGGCCTTGATGAGGTAATGAAACCATTGGTTGAAGAACTGAAGCGTAAGAGAACTGATATGGACAAGACGATAATATTTTGCCGTAGCTATAAAGATTGTGCGTCTTTGTACTTTTACTGTAAGGATGAACTTAAGGACAGTTTTACTGACCCCCCAGGCTATCCTAATGTATCCAAGTTTAGAATGGTTGACATGTTTTCAGCCTGCAACTCATCAGTTATAAAGAATCAGATTGTGGCAAGTTTCTCATCTCCTAATAGTCGCTTACGAATTGTAATTGCCACTGTTGCCTTTGGTATGGGCATTGATTGTCCGAATATAAGGCAAGTAATTCACTGGAGTCCACCTTCAGATATCGAAGCATATATACAAGAGATTGGTCGTGCTGGGAGAGATGGTAAAATGGCCTATGCAACACTATTATACTCCAAGAAGAATATTTCTTTACCCTTTATGGACAGTTCAATGGTTGTGTATTGTCGTAATAACAACACTTGCAGGAGAGATCTACTTTTCAGAGACTTTGATTATACTAGAGATGAGGATATTACTGGCTGTAACTGTTGTGATCTCTGTACCATGATATGTGAATGTTCACATTGTTCTATTTTTGATTGATTACAGTATTTAATATCATGTTGCAGATTACATGTGCATATTATGTTTATAATTATTATTATTTTTTTTATTTATCCATTCATCAATCATCATCCGACTTTCTCTCTTCATTCCTTAGTTCCTTTCTCGATGTAATTTATTGTTAGTAATCAAGATCATTATAATAATTATACAATAAATTTAATCATGTGATTATAAATAAATATTTTTATAAATCAAAAATTTTTAGAACTATTAACATTAGCGATGCAAAAGTTTATATAGTTGATCCTTTAACCAGATTATTATGTCTTCATTTTTAATACTCCCCACTCTGTTGCTCTTAAATGATTTTACTTCACTATGTTTCCTATTAGGCCTGTTTTCAAACACATCAGCTTTTCTTAACTCCTCTAAAACAGAGTTTAAATCACGAACAGATGAACGAGATGTGTGCCACCCTGACTCTATTTGTATGCCTGTTGTGAGGTCATAGTTGTTTCTGATTTCAATCAGTTGTCGTAAGCATAATCCCACACGTTTAATTGTATTCTCTGCCACATTTGCTCCAAGATGTGATATGGAAGTCTTTAATTCACGGTTCAAATGTTCCATATGCAGATCCATTGCGATATTCTTGCCCCGTTTTCCATGTACATTAATGGTCCTGCTCCAAAGTAACTGATGTCTCATTCTTTCACTAAATAGATATTCATATTGAAAAGAGTAATGTTGCAGCCTGGATAGCATACTTGCGTT